GACATCAAAAAGGTAACAAAAAGAGGTTGAATAATGAAACCCACGCAAAAGTCAGTGCTCGCAAGGCAACCTAACAAAAGCTTAGATGGCGGATGAAGGGACGATGGTTTTTGAAGAGCAACAATGATCAGAAGATTTCCTAGTAATGCAGTGACGGAAAGAGGAATATTTAAAGCTGATATGACCATCTGCTGATGCCTTTCGATAAGACCTGACAAGCAAATAGTCAAGTTCACCATTTTTGTTGTTAATCGTTGTCTTGTTAGTAGCTAGGTCAAGAGGCAATGTTCGTTACGCTTCATTGAAATTCACCGTTGAAAACTGGTCGAAGGCCCGTCCTGAAGTGAGGGTCTGACAGCGCCGTCTAAGTTGTTTTACCCGACAAATAGAGACAATGTCGAGTTCTAGAAAGACACTTACAAACACGCCGAAGCCATGACAAGAGGAACTTGTCTAGCACGAGTATGATAACTGTCATGTGATATTTTGCACTTACTGCAAGCAGTGGAATCGCGCARYCTTCCATTGACTGTAAATTAAAGTTTCGGGGAGCTCTGTTTCTATGTTGGTCAGATTTTACCATGAAAAATCCTTATCCAAAAGCACAATACTACAAGAAGACGAGAATAAATCACATCTTTTTTTAACCTGTTTCGCTTGTTTTACAAAGTATGTCTTAGATCGTGACACGTTTCCATTTCAGGTTACTTTGCCACTATACCCAGTTTTGACAAGTGTCAGTTTTCCTTAAATTGAAACCCCTATATATGGGTCCATGGTGTTTACTTAACGTTTACCATTTCCGGGATATATGATCAGTATAACTTGAACCAGCGAGCAAACGTGAGCAGTTCTTGAGTCCGAATCCACAAGAAGATGTTCGCAATTTTCTGTGTTTATTAGATTACATCTTTTCTAAATGAATACGTGCAGTCTTTTTACAAAGCTTTGACCTTTCATTTTTTTTATCCCTCGCCGTCTCTTTTATTTCGTAATTCTTTTTTTTATTTTTTTTTATTTTGAAAAAGTAAGAATAAACGTTTTCTTTGCAGTCATATGGCAAAGGTACATCTCATTCGAAATAAAGGAACGCGACTAAAGGTCTCCCCTGAACTTTTCTCCTAATGGGTTGCGAATTTCGCTTGCATGTTGTGAATATGCTAGTTATCAGTGGCTTTATTAAAAGACTGCGTGGTTGTTGGTCTAGCAAGTTTAATTAATTTCCTGACAACTCATGTTATTCTGAGAGCGTTTCAATAAACTTCGACA